AGTGCAGCATAACTTATCATCAGCTTCTCTAGCATTTTCTCATATGGTACTTCCTTTAACTTCTTTAGTGCTTCTGACAGCACGTGAGATCTTGTGAACTCACTATCGACTGTCTTAAAGTTTAAGCTGTTAGATGAAATTTTATTTTAATATTTAAATATTTTATCACTTAGAAGGCATTCTGATCACGCTTGGCATTATCAAGAGAATGATTTCTCTGAAGCATCATGTCATACTCCTCGATCAGCATTCCTATTCCTTGAATCACGTAAGAGACGGAAAATAATGCCCTATTGTCATGGAATTTTTTTTCAAATTAGACCTAATTATTTCATGTAAACGGAAAGGAGACAAAAAAGAAAAAAGTCTACCGACCTTTTCCTCCTCTTTTCATCGAGAAAATATTATTTAAAAAATTTGGATATTAAGTATTTTCGGCCCAAAATGTAAACTACAGATTAAAGAAAAGAACTAGAAAACCCAAATTGAAGTTCTAAGGGGCCTTGTGGTTAATGAAAAAGTTTTTAGTTTTTGTTTTCAACGTAAACAAAGCATGGAAATCGAACCCCGCACCTATTTTACTAACGTCCCCACCCTCCCAATCCCTTTACTAACAGGGCTACATGGCAATCCATCATTATGCATCATGTCAACCAAAATTTAAACTAATAGAGTTGAAATTCGTGGATTTTTTCTCTCGACAGGAAGAGCTTAAATCCTACCCCGATGGTGGTAGTTTTCACCCAAAAAACCCTAATGTTCTTCACTGAATACACCAGTCATTTCATCTAGTCTCTACCAAGATGCAAATCTCCGTCTACTTTTCAACTTTGATTCTTTACCCAAAATCCCCAACCTTCCCATAAACCATATTCACTGTTCCATTAGCTACACCGATACCAGCTTCCGATACAACCCAATCTCTCTTCGATTGCAACTCGCACTACAATACATTGGAATCAATGACCTTCATATCAGCTGAAAGGAGCAACCCTGGTTAATCCTTGCCCTCGCTCATATATCAAACCCATTACAAAAGCCCCAACCCAAAATCCCTCACTACCCCATCAGCCCCCCTGAGCACTGTGCATTGTATTTGGACGGCATTTTGCCATACGGTATATTGTGCTACAACCCCGAGAATGAATTTACAGGAATAGCTGCTTCTGCTGTACTTTTCTCACAGGGAGTAAGCTGTCTGCCTCTCGTGCATCTTCGATGGAAGAATTAGACACCTCAGATTCTTGAGTTAATATCCTCTGCAGAAAATTGGGCAATTTATGGTCAGACAAGACCTGGCAGAGATAGATGGTATGGTCCCAATTGAAAGAATATTAGAATGTCGTCTAACTATGTTTGGGCAATTGTTCTCTAACCCCAATATCAATCTCCAAGCCTTCCAAAACACTATGAAGAGGGCATGGAGAGTGGATTCAGTTACCTTTGATCAGGTAGACTCGAGAACTTCAGCCTTTACCTTTAAGTCTGAAAATGAAATGAAGAGAATTCTTGAGACAAGGCCTTGGTCTTTCTCTAACAATCTTTTGGTGCTTAAACCATGGACACTGAATACTTTGCAGTACAGATACGATTACACACATTGCGAGTTTTGGGTTCAAATGCACGGATTACCTATGGATTGGGTCTCGGAGGAAACCGTAAGGCAAATAGCAGCAGCAGCAGGCTTGGTAACTGAAGTGAAAATTGATACAAAGGGATTTAGCTCCTATACAGGTGGAAAAGCTAGAGTAAGAATTGATTTATCATCCCCCTGGAAACCCGGGACATTTGCCAGCAAGGGAGGAAGGAAACTATGGTTGACTTTAGATATGAGAGATTACCGCAATTTTGTTATGCGTGTGGTCGCATAGGGCATTATGCCAAGTTCTGTGAGGAAGAAGAATATGACAAGAACCAGTTAGAAACTGATGATCCTAGTTGTTTTGGACATTGGCTACATGCTCAAGTGAGGGAGAACAACCCTCTGTGGAAGCCGTTCTATGCAAAACCAGAGGATATAACCATAGATGATGGGATTATTCCAAAAACTCCTACCCCTACCCTACAAATGGTGTCCTATGAGCCTAGGGGAAAGAGTCTGTGGGTTCCTAGTAGTGGGAACAATCTGGAAAAGTCAGCATAGATTTTTGCCCAGGAGATAGAAGCAATGGGAAAAGGCGGCATCAGTCCAGACAAAAACTCAGAAAAGACCTTGATGCTGATAACAGCTCCAAACCACTATACAAAAGGCTGCTCAAAAGGCCCCCAAAAAAATATAGCAAGGGGAAGAAAACAGGTGGAAACAAAACACAGTGAAGGTATAGTCCTTGCGCTTCTCGAAAGGTGAACTCTCGTGCCTTAGATGAGACCAAACTTTTGGAGACTCCAATTCAGGTTTTGGAGGATCCTAAGATACGGGCTTTGGTGGCTAGCACTAATAAGCCACCGGGGTTCCCATTACTTTATGTTGGAATTGTCAGGGGTTGGGCACACCCCTGACAAACTTGGCATTGAGAGCCTTAGTGGCTCTGGAAAGGCCCAGCATTATTTTTCTGATGGAAACAAAAAATCAAGAACCCATGGTATGAGCTTGAAACGAATCCAATTCCAGAGCAGTGCAGTGGTAAATTCAAATGGAATTGCAGGGAGGTTAGCGATCTAGTGGAATGACAGGGTAGCGCTAACAATGGAATCGGTCACAAACGGAATGTTTGACCTAATTTGTATAGATAGTGGAAAACATATGAGAATTACCTCTGTATATGCTCCAATAATCTTTCAACAAAAATTGCAGCTTTAGGAAGAATTTTGTATTACTGGGAAAGTGTAGGCAGGCATATGGCAGAGCACCACAGGTTAGTGGCTTTTCGAGACTTTATAAATGCATGCTCTCTAATGAATCTTGAATGCAAAGGATGCGCATTTACATGGGCAAATAATAGGGACGGGGATGCTTTTGTGAAAGAAAGACTAGATGGAGCTCCACGCAATGTAGAATGGAGAGTGACATCCCAGAAGTGGAAGCATATGCATTACCCGCTATAGGTTCGGACCATAGCCCTATCTTGCTAACTCTCTCAGCAGAACCTACAAAAAGAAAGAGAGAAATTAAGTTTGAAGCATACTGGCTTGCAGATAATGAATGTGGTCAGCTAGTAAGTTCAGTGTGGAATACTGCAGGCATGGAAATGAACACTTTCTGAAGAAACTACAAAATGTAATAGAGGCCCTAAAGAAGCGAAGCAAGCAGAAGTTCTCTAATGCTAATAGTCAAATCAACTGCAGTTAACAAATGAGCAGAGCTTGCAACATGACAGGGACAAAATGCAGCAACTGAAAATGCAAATTGAAGATCTGTGGAAACAAGGAGAAATGTACTGGGGTATGCGCTCAAGACTAAACTGGCTGAATTGGGGTGATAGAAATGCCGAGGAAGTGCAATGGAATGAGCACATGCTGCTCTCTCCGTTTGATGAGCATATAGTCAATGATAATATTCTAGCTATCCCACTCTCAACAATACCAACGGAAGACAAGCTAGTCTGGACACGCAACCAAGCAGGAGGCTACACTGTTAAAAGTGGCTACAACCAACTCCAGAACATTGAGACTGAGCGTGAAGCAAATCAAGCCTCATCCTCCTAACAAACTCCGAAAGCCCCCTGGACTAAGCCACGGAATCTAAAGACTCAACCAAAAGTAAGGTTATTTACGTGAAGTGTGTGCCAAAATGCCCTATCCACCAGAGAAAACCTATTCAGAAGGAAGATTGTACCTGAGTCGACATGTCCCTCTTTGCGAGATGGAACCTGAAACTGTTAAACATATGTTCCTTCTCTGTCAAAGGACGAAACGGATATGGTTGGCCTCTGAGATCGGCACTCGGATTTCAATTCAGGAAGTTACTCGAATTGAAGGATGGCTTATTGAAGATTGGTAACCTCACCTCAAAGCCCCCGTCTTTCGAACTGATCGCGGTCACTTTCCGGCACATTTGGACACCAAGAAATTCCTCTGTTTTCAAGCATCATGTACCAGATCCTGCAACAGCAATGGCGTCTATCACGGCTATGCATATTGATTTCTTGAAATGGAATGGCCGAGAATCAGAGAATAGAACCAACCCAGGAGACTTACCCATGAGAAGGAAACCGCCGAGCAAAGGAGCTCTCAAGCTAAACATCGACAGATCTTTCCACGAAAAATCTTCCGAAGGTTCCATAGCGTGTCTGCCATGATTTTGAGGGGTAAACAATTGATGGGTCCGTGCATAAACTAATTGATGCCCCTTTTGTCGTGTAATTGGGCCCGTACTTAATGAATGAAAAGCTCGCTTATGACCCAAAAAAAAATTGTTAATACACTAACAAAACAAATTTTTAGTTGATGAAAATAAATTCAGAATGAAAGAAGTTAGGAACTTACTAATTTATTGACATATTTGTAAATTTAGTATAGTTCTACACTTGTAAAATTTGAGAAAAAGTTGGTTACCAACTTACTTATTGGAACGTTGGTAAAATCATTGTAAGGTTTGTCAAATTTGATGAGGCACTGTGACCCATCTTAACGCCTCCAATGATCAAGAGCATGACTACCCCTGAAGCATTGTGTCGTGTAAACTTCCGCGACCAGCGTCTCCATTCCTTGAACTATTCAAAGACAAAAGTACGATGCATATGAAATGCTGATGAATTCGGCAATACATCTCGACAGTGTATAGTGTGACCCGCTTTATTTACCTTTGATGGGAATCGTCAATCGTTCCGACTTTGTGGCCAAAGTGCTCGACTGATCGGAGCATTCTTTTCCATGAACTGATTTTTCTCTGCTGTAGGAGTGCCATGAACATATAAAATTCGGGTAAGTTGCATCCCTCAACGTTTTAATTCCTGGAGCTCTGTGATCTCCACATGTCAGGCGAAATTGAGCCCCCATCTTCAATCTTCGAAATTCGACAGATGTGGAGGCCTTGCAGTTGAATCCCTGATTTTACCACATTAGCGGTTCCATCTGACTTTCTCCGGGCACCGAACATTGCGAAGCTTCTGACAATCTACAGTGGACAAAAGTTCTAGCTCATCACAGCACGAGAGGTCTGGTAATGTTTCAATGGACATGCACCCGTCGATATACAAGCTTTCCAAGTTTTTCAACCTCTCAAGGCCTTTAATTTCGACTAGATTGTTGCAGACTTGAGCCCTTAATAGCTTCAAACGTGTTAATTGCGAAAGGTCCGGTCTTATGAGGGACTGGCAGCGATAGATAATCAGCTGTTCCAAGTTTTTCAATCTGTCAAGGCCTTGAAATAGATCATCATTCACTTGTGGACCATCTGGCTGTAGACGTTTGAACCACTCCTTGCGTCTGGAACGTACTAACCCCTGCATTCCCAAGTATCTCAAGGACTCCAGATGTTCAAGGCCATCTAGGTTGGACAACTTGTTGCATCCAGATACATCTAGGTGTTTTAAGGATTTTAGTCCTTCCAAACCCTTGATTTCTGTCAGCTCCTGACACGCTACGATACATAATCGTGACAAGAGTTCCAAACTCGACAAACTCGGCAACTCTGTCAACTTAAAACACCCGGAGACATAAAGCTTCAACAATCCTGAGGGGAGCTCTGGAATAGATTCCAGCGATGCGCATTCCAGAAAATGGAGCTGTTTTAGATGGATTAGGTGAGAAAGTTGAGGCAATGTACAAAGATCACAGGTGACTGTCAGATATGTTAAACTGGCAGGAAGCTCCGGTAGCGACCGAATCATGCTGCAGTCCGTCAAATCAAGTTCTTCGAGACAAGAAAGCTTCCCAATTGCGTCGGGGAAGCCAGAAAAGCGTGTATCACTTAATCGAAGGATCTTCAATGAAGACAACCCATCTATAGGAACTTCCCCTCCCAGACTTTGGCAGAATGAGACATTTAATTCTTCAAGTTTGCCCAACTTGCTAATAGTACTGGGTAAACTACTCATTTTCTTACAGCAAGCAATATTCAAAATTTTCAAGTTTTCCAAATCCCCAATGGATTCAGGTAATTTTGAAATTTCTGCACGCAACAATGTCAGTTTAGTCAATGATTTCAACTTCCCAATTGAATGGGGGATGTGACGAAAACAATAATCAAAGCCATCCAAACTAAGATCTGGCGTATGACCTATTGACAGATGCTGCAATTTCACAAGGGATCCGATGCTCTCTGGAAATCCTTGTAAACATGAGCAAAAGCTCAAGTCAAGGGTCGACAAATTTACCAAATGGCTAATTGAGTCAGGAAGTTCAACCAATGATTTGCAATGACTGACATCAAGCATCTCCAGCTTCTTCAAAGAACCTATACATGGAGGAATTTCCTTTATAGCAGTTGCGCCTATCATAAGTTCCTTTAGTGCTTCCAATTTGCCCATTTCTCCAGGTAGCTCTTGGAGTTTCACACATTCCCACAAGTCCAAAAAAACGAGGCCCTTCAGTTCACCTAGTTGTGAGGGTAACTTCTTGAGACTCTTACAGTACCTCAAGTTCAAGGAAACAAGGGACCTGACATCTCCAATCGAAGGGTCAATTTCCTCCAAACCCTTACAATGTTTCAAGATTAACATCTCTAAATTTTTAAACGCAGAGAGATTAGGGGTGCTCTTTAAATGTGAGCACCATGAAAGATTGAGAACTTTCAACCTATCCATCTACAAGAAAGAAACATGTTCCAAGATTAGCAGTTGGAAATAGAATGACTCATCATCAAATGTAACAAAAGAAAAAGCCTTTCTCATCTTTACCTCGATCGAACTCCATCCTCCCCAGTTTTCACTAATTAAACCTTGTGATAGATTAAGTATGATTAATTTCTCCAAATGAACATTGGTCGCCTTGAAAGAGTCAGGACATCTCTTCCACTTTAGCCATCTTAATTTAGAAAGTGAATCCTTAAAATCTCCAACAAAATCCACATCACTCACATGAAGGAACTTCAGGTTAGGCATTCTTTTGAAGCTCTCTCGCTCCATGAACTCTCTTGAGCCCATTTTGTCCAGACGTAGCGCCTCAATATATTCATTTTGCTCCTACAAAAAAAAATGAGGATTGTAAATACCACCCAACCGCCTTTTGTTTGTATACTCTGCATGTTATTGTGGCCGATACATTTTGTTTACACTTATAAAGGAAAAAGAAATATATGTAATCTTTTATAATTACATGATCTTGTAATATGTCAATTTTTACTCATATGCCCCAAATTTTGATGTTTTATGTGAAATTTCTACATGAAATTAGTCAAGTTTTCTTATAAATTTTGAAATTAAATTTTGTAACATACGTAGTATTGACGACTGACTAAATATGGTGTCCCTTTGACATATGTGAGAACTGTTACACATTTGAAAAACGAAAAGTACCTTATCAGACTTATGCATTCATAAAGCATGACAACTCATTCCCTCCCCGTTCATAAAAATTTATTGGTTTTGGCATATGGCCGGATGGAAACAAGAATTTGGTCCATTGAACTTGACATTTCATTTTTGGACATTCAAGCTCAAAGCTCAACAACAAATCCTAAGATGAGGGAGAAAATGTCCAATCAATTCTACACATATCAATTTTACGATTTAATCTTAGACCTTTACGAGAAAATTCAATGTAGTCCTTCCAGGCAATTTTTGCAGGAAATCACTAAAGTGGCGGTATGTCATGTAGGACGGCCAAAAATGATTGGACCGCCACGCCAGCGATTTCCTACGAAAATTGATCGGAAGGACTACATTGGAATTTCATGCAATGGTTTAGGCCTAAATTGGCAAAATTGGTAAATTTATGATTGAATTGACATCCGCACAATAGGTTTAAGAGTGATTGGGTAATTTTTCCCTAAGATGAGCGAACTACTCAATTAGTCATTATTGAATTTGGCCCAATCGGTCATAAAATTCGACCTGATCTTAAGAATTTGTTAGTGCATTTTTGCATTCACTCATTCATATAAACATATATATGAATTAGTTAATAAAGGTTAGCGATTATTATCGTTTTCCACTTTTTGCGTTCTATCATTTGTTTTTTGTTCCTCCAGTTATCTTATTTGATAAATTAATTATCTGTTTTTTCTCCGCTAATATCTAACTATAGATTTTTTTCTCTTCTCTTTGTCTGTGTGTGCGCGTAAAAGCACAATTAATTCTTACTAGGAAGGGCTCGCTCATTACAAAATAGAGGTGGATATTGTATTACACTAAATGCAGATACGAGGAGGAGAATACAATTTCTTTCATCTTTCACTATTCCGTCACTTGCTTCCTACAATCATTTAATTTCTTAATTTCAATATTTTCTTTTCAGTTTTTGGTTGAAAATTTATTGTATGAATATGTACAAAATCATATGTCAGTTGTTATTTAGTTTCTTCTGTCGTAATTTACTGTTATTTAGTTTTGCACATTGTTAATTATGTGCTCAAAATACCCATGACTAGATCCATGCATAGCACCAGTATGAACACTAGGATATATTATGAAAACTGGGTAGAATAGCCTTATGTTGTCACATCACGTATCGAAATCCTGTGTGTTCTCATCTTTCATATGAATGAACAGGATTGAACCATGATACACGTGCAGAGCACATGATTAAAACTTAAAAAACCTTAGTTATGCCACTTCCATTATAGTTAATGTATCTTGAACAATCTCCCATCATTAGTTTATGTGATTTGTTAATTTGATTAAAAGTGACAATATAAGAAAAGCTATATCCGCAATTGAAAATTTGAATTTAATTTGTTTAAATTTACTAGTCCTTTAAGTGACAAGATAAGTAAGAATTTTCTATTAATTATCGAGTAAGAGTCATCCAAACTATATAGTGTTGTTTCAAGTTATCAACTAACCCAATTATAAATTTTTAGATTATTCAAAAAATTGATATATTTCAAGGTGCTTCTTCAATTATGTAAATGAGGTTCGCTGAACTATACAATATAGATTAAACCTTCAATTTTCTTTTTATTAGGTACATGTACTTATGCATTTACATTATCATATTGGATTTAAATTGTGAACATGCATGATAAATCCTAGAAAGCAAATTGTAAAAATTCTTCATACATATAAAACCACTGCATAAGATCTTATTTCTTCACATTGAACAAAATCTTAAGTTGATAGCCAATAGTTATGACGTGCAAATAATTCAACTGAAATCTTTCTTTCTGTTGCCATAAAGTAGAACCTGCACACGAGCAAATTGCACGTATTCATGGTTGAAAATTAAAGATGGGATGATGCGTTCGATTCTTGAGAAGGAGACTATCACATATATCATACGAAAGTGACATTTCAAGAATGAAAAAGGTGGATAATATGTGATTCAAAAATTAAGCAGATGCATTTAAGTACAAAAAAAAAGAGAGTAGATATGTGAGTTTAACATGTAGTTACAAATTCTTATTTAACAGTTATCAACCCATGTATTTATCCTCACATCAACGTACTTCAAAGATAAATTGCTGATATATTTTGGGAAGATAAAATGAAAGACAACAAAGTAATGATCAACAGTAAAGTTTTTGTTAAAGTTATAACGACTTATATACATTTAGAGTGTGATGAACCGGATATATAAGTGGCATAAAGTAAACTTTCAAACCTGTGCGATGCTCGGTCTTCAACAAGTAACACAGTAACAAATCTGCTAGAAAATGATGTTAATAGCCCTTTTCTGAACCTCATAGTCACGAGTACAAAGTTTTCATGAACAAAGGGCCAAAATTGGATGTAGCTTTTACCAAGAAAATGCTAACAACTTATTGAGAATGGTCAAAGATATAGAGAAAAAGAACAATAACAATAATAATTTAAGGGACGACCATCAGAGGACATCGGATAGGCCAAAATTAGACATAATTGTTACCTTGCGTCTTAGAACTTCCATGGCTTCCTTGTTCCATAGTCTGCTCCAATCCCAAGGATTCTTTTTTGCTGGATGGGCGATAGCTCTGCCTAGATCTCTTAATTGATCATGCATTCTCAACTTATTCTCATCATCAACTTTTATTAACGAAAGTTCAATCATCCTTGCCAATCCACTTATTGGGCAAAAGTCGAGATCATCCCACAGGTAGGTGGCGATTCTTTGGTTAGTTCCAACCAAAAAGCATGCTATGTCTAGAAACATTTGTTTTTCATTATGTTCTAGCGCATCATAACTTATCATCAACTTTTGTTGTACTGTCATATTAGGTGCCTTGCTCAATTGCTTCAACATTTCTCTCCACACTCTTTCATTGTCTTTTCCTTTGAGAAGTGAACCTATAACCTTGAGAGCTAAAGGAAGCCCTCCTGTGGTGGCAACGATATCACGAGAAAGAGTCGCTAGTTCTTTTGGAGGTGGTTTCCCTTCAAATGCATGTATGCTAAACAGAAGCGAAGAGTTTTCACTATTCATTTCTTGGAGTTCATACCAATATGTAGAATCCAACATGGCCTTATCTTGACATTTAATGGCCGTATGTCGACACGTAACAATGATCCTACTTCCTAATAAGAAATTACAACCTCCAATCAAATTATCGAGGTGATCTGGATTATCCACATCGTCCAGAAGAATAAGAACCTTCTTTTGTGTACAACTGGCTTGGATCATATTAATTCCTGTATCCGGATCATGCACTTGATGATTATGAATTTTTAGTATATCTGAGATCAGTCGAGATTGCACATGCTCGATACCCTTGCGACTAATTGTTTCTCTAATATCCTTGAGAAAGCTACGGCACTGAAATTTATCAAAAAGTTTGTTATAGATGATCATAGCTAAAGTCGTCTTACCAATACCGCCTATCCCCCAAATCCAAATAATTCGAGTGTCCGGGTAAGCAATATCCGCCAATTTCATAACCTCAGCCACACGATCCACAATTCCAACCAAGTTCACGGTAAGACGTGGTTGAAAATCTTCTTGCCGCTTGTGCATGACAATTTCTACGAGTTTATTTACTAATTCCGCTTCATGCCTGTCAAACAGAACAACACATGACAACTTATTAATGGCTCCACAAAACAAGGATTAAGGACGATAAATAGAAATATTCTTCTTCCAACAAGGATATGTTAAAACAAGGTAAACGAAGTACCCTTTAGCAAATTTCTCTGATTCGAATACTCTAGATGCAGCTGCCTTTTTGAGCGCTTCCCTCCCTTGTTGCTTGACCGCCTCGTCAGACCAATGCTTACGGGATTCGAAGGCCTTTTTGACGCTCCCCTGCAGGTATTTCACATCCTTGGTTTCTACCTTGTAAAGTACGGGCAAGACTGTTTGTCCTCTGCTTTTCTGGCAGTCCATTATACAAATGAGCTCGCGGAGGCACCATTCACTAGCAGCATAATTTTCAGAGATGACTGGGATTGAAACCTTAGAGTGCGTGATTGCACTGATAAGATTTGCAGCAACGTCCTCACCGAAGGGGAGGTTCTCGTCATCTCTGAACACAAAGTTTGGGTGGAACCTAAGGCCCACATCTTTGAGTCTATGGTAGAGGTGATCAACGAAGCTATTGCGAGTATCGGGGCCTCTAAAGCTCAAGAATACGTAGTAACTGTTTCCAACCACAGAGGTGGACGAAGCAGATGGGTCAGAATTCGCTCCAGAAGCCGACGGCACATTGATCTTCTCTGACGAGTCCAAAGAGGGAAGAAGAAGAGGCAATTTGCTCTCGCACTCGTCCGACTGTAATTTAAACAATTCTTCGAGCATGTCGGGTCCTGGTCGCTTCGACATGGTCGGAGTCAAAGCTTGGGTGAGTTCAGCTTGCTCGAGTTGTCGTGTCGAGTGATGATCTTCCATTGTAGTGCACGCTCGCTCGCTCTCTCTCTCTCTCTCTCTCTGAGACTCGACTGTTATGAATAGTCTTGAGCAGGAAATGATTGCTTGAGTAACTCTGCAACACATTTACAGTGTCGCCGGTAAAGAGGGAGAAGGGAAAGCAGGAGGCAAACCAGGAAGATGAAGGAGGTTTGTCGTTTCTTTGATTTCTTTTGTTCATATAGAGAATGTAGAGATGCCTTCCCGTGGTCTGCAAGGGAAAGAAGGAAGAAAAAGAACGCAATAGCTATATTGACACTGTAATTATATTCATGAGAATAAGAGATTTTCGTTATATTGAAAGTAACTATATGCCCCTTGAACTAAAGCTGAAAAATATTTAGTTCAATTAAATTGGAAAAGTAAAACGAAAATTTTTAAAAGAACGTTAAGATAGATGTTTCTTATGGAGAGTATCACATGTCAGCCACCCATTGAAAGTATTTTGGTGCACCACTTTTACATTTATCTAATAAGATAGATTCATTGTATCTATTTTAGATCAATATATGAAACATACTACATTTCACAAGCTTAATTCATAGCTCTAAGAAATTATGCTCTCTTTTCTTTTTGTTTTTTTTTTTTTGGAAGCACATCAACAATTTGCTTTTGATTAGCTAATGAACTTTAATAAATGACAAAAGATATTAAATTTAACTATCGGGCACTCATGTTCTTACTTACTTTTCGTCGATTTTTGCCCCAAATGACGTTAGCGCCATTGGTTTTGCGGTTTTTAAAATAAGACAACTTATCATAATGCCTCTGCATAGCAAGTTCAATTCCGTCAACTATTGCAACTTCCCAATGGTAGAGACTACGACAACCACCATCACATTACTGAAAGCATTCATAAATTATGTTTCTCATCCGGCCCTACCACCCGTCTTTCCAAGTCTCCAAGGCCATGTGAAACGCACCGGTTGCCTTTACTTGTCCGAAAGGAAAAGCAAACAGCTTAAAGCACCCACACCAATCAGTGCGTTCACCCAATCGTCCGCCTAAAGTTTTGTCCGCGTTGCCTTTATTCCTCTAATCGAGTATTTTGCACCAAGCCGGTGGCATCTTTACATTAAATTACTTACCGGATTTCTTGTCTTCCACGGAAATTATTATTAGTAATCATGTGGACTGACATTAGCTAATTTTGTTATCATTGACATTTATACACCAGCAATTTTGTTAACCAGTGATCCACATGGGAGGATCGTTTAACGTTTTAATGGTCGTCTCTTTTTTGCCACGGCATTAACATTGTATCTAAAAGCCAGGAAGAAAATGAAAGAGAGAAAAGAACTTAATAGCTATATTCCCATGGTTTTTACAAATATTATGCTACTTTCATTTATATACATTTGGCTTATGATTTCTATAATAAAAAAAAAGTAGAACCTCATTTACAGTTTTTATCGAGTTGATATTCCTTTTATTTTAATTTCCTAACGTACATTTATTACTAAATTTAATTATGCAAACACAAAACATAAAAGCTTGAAAATTTATCTCTTTAAAAATAAGGGTCGAGATTTAGATTAATATAAATATGATTATCAGTAAATAAATTAAATATCTTCTTTAGATATGCTTATGAAAACATTTATTTTTAAAAAAGCAGCAATATTAACCTTGCACAACCAAAAAGGAGGTTCTACTTTTACTGTTATAGAGATCATAAGATAAATTATATTTAAATAAAATTATCATTATACTTATAAAGACAAAAAAAAAAGATAAAAAGGCAATAGAAAGATAGCATATCTTTTTGCTGATTTAGGAAATTAATCGAAATGGAAAGATATTAAAAAGCCTGGGTAATAGTGTAATTACGAAAACTTGTGAATAGTACAGAATGACTTATTTGATCTTATGAGGAACTAGATTAAACAAATTGAAAGTTTAGGTATTAGATTGACCAATTTAGAATAGTTCAATGACCACTTTAAACAAATAAAAAATCTAAGAATAACATTACACGTTGAGCCAAAGTGTAAGAATTATCAATGTCATTTCCCTTGCCACTTTATGTGGAGTGAAGACTTCTTGTTTGCCGATTTCAATGGAACAAGATAACTCTTGAAGATATTATGCCCCGCCGTTAGGTGCTTAGTTCCATTCAGTCTCATCAAATTAAATCTGAAGTTAATACCTGTCCTAATCGATATGCACGGTTTGAGGGGCTTTAACTCGATCCAATTAATGTCGGATACATATATTATAGATGATACATATGATCACAAATTTTTTGTTTTAACGAGTGAAACATCTATAAGTTGGCCCAAAAGAAAGTGAAATATCTAAAAGCGAACATAAGTTGAAAAAATATTAATTTCACTCATAACTCACCATTTTCACTCATAAGTTTTTATTTTGAATGATAAGCTAGATAACTTACATCGTACATAAAAATTAAAACATTCCTTACTCTGCTGGCTATCATAAAATTGGATCTCTTTCGGTAAATCATCGACTTCACTGGAAGCTTGCTATCTTTACCACTAGGTTTTTGTTTGAGTGGTAAATTTCTAAAGATGTCGATAACTTACTATTGCATTTGCTGGTTTTGTTTGTAAAATTACCATCAGCGTACATAACCAATTACACGATTTTACCATATAATAAGACCGAGTTATGTTTTTTGCCCACCTTGCTAGTAGTAATAGGTAAATTACCCAATTTCTCACTATCAGCAATACGTAAAATTTTCCCCCCAATTCAGGTATTTCCTAAATGCTTGTACATTCCCGAAAAGCATCCGTCAATTATTTTTCTCGTCCGGCCCCACCAGCCTTTCTTTCTGAGTCTCCGAGGCCATCGTGAACCTCTTCCTTTTAGTGTAATGTGAAACGCACTGGTTGCTAGTCCAAAAGAAAAAGGAAAGAGCTCAAAGCACCGACACAATCACTATGTTCCCAGAAACGTCCGCGGGAAGTTTTTGTTCGTGGAGCCTCATTTCCTCGAAATGAACTTCTGTGCAGCAGGGTCATCGTTGGATCGAGAAATCAACGTCTATAAGCTACTCTATGTAGCAAATAGTAAGTCTAACAGTAGGGATCTCTTGAAGTCGATTATTTTCCTCATCCGGCCCTACCACTCTGCTTTCCGAATCTCCAAGGCCATGTGAAACCCACTTGTTTGCCTTTGCTAAAGGCCCTTTAGCTGACCAAAAGGAAAAGGAAAGAGCTTAAAGGCACCCGCGTCAATCAATCAGTATGTTCACCGAATCTTCCGCCTAAAGTTTTGTCCGCGTTGCCTTATTCCTCCCATTCAAGTCCTTTGCACCAAGCCGGTGGCATCTTTGCATTAAATTATTTACCGTAATTCTTGTCTTCCTCCGAAACATTTATTGGAAATCAACGGTTAATAGTAGGGAACTATTTGGGAGACATTACAATCTATGCTATCACAAGAAAATGAAAGATGAGGCGCTCTTGAAGTCATTCACGATTTTTCTGTTCAGCGGTTCTTTTTCTATTCCGGTGAACAAAAGAATAAAAAAATAGAAAAATAGAAGTGTTACCAAACAAGCCCTGAGATTCCTAAAAGTTAAGGATTGTGTCTTTCAAAATTTGTGGACTTCAGACTTTGTGGTTGAACGTATAAATGTCTGTTCGAGAATTCTGGCTACACATTTCCCTCATGTAGCTGTAAGTGGAGCAGCGATAGTCTCCAATTGAGCAGTAGATTGGTGCCCTGTAATTAGGGCATTAGAAAGGTTCGGAATGCAAAGCTTCACAAATAGAAAGAAAAAGAGAGTTGGCTCGTCCACGAGGGAAATAAATGTTCTTACTTCTTTGCTTTAACTTTTTGGCTTGACTGTTCTAAGTAATATTGGTTTTTGCGATTTTTTTATGATAACCAGTTTTAATCTTGGGACCTCATGTGTCCACTTGTTTATAATTTTTCTTGAGCAATTTTTGAAAGAAAGCAAGCAACACAAAATAGGACATGGTCTGAAAATTGAAGAAAAAAGGAGAAAACAAAAGGCAAATTGAGTTAGGTGGCCGCATGTCTACTCCTTAGAGGCTTCCTCTCCATGCACCAAAAAACTTATATTATGGATTACTGCATGATGGGCCACGTTTTCCTTTACAAATATAGATGCCATCCATATTTAATTTTAGCTAATTTTGCATATGGATATTTCTATAAGTTGAACACCAATCAAAGATATAATTGGAGGCAATTTTTTCCAGCTAAGTATGGAGGAAAATATGACATTGGTTAATAATGAGGAAAATCACTTCAAATTAGATACATTATGATGACACTCTTATGCTCCATGCATTTGGACGAAGAATGTGAAATCTCGTTCTCACATTTTAGGGAAAGATTTATTTTACGCTTCATAACTTAGAAGTTGGTGCACGTCAGATCTCAAACTTCAAAAAGTTGCATCCCCCTTCAGCCTAACCCGAACTTGTATTTTCTTACGCTCATTAACATTGCTGACCTCTTTCCATTAACATGTACCAGGCGGCGTACTCACGTCTTTAAGGAATAAATAAGTTGCATATCCTATATAATCCAAAACCTTTGCCAAATGATATACACTCTTTATTTAAAGATAGATTCTTAATATGGCGAGCATCAATTGTCTAATTTGTGATGGATTACTCATATGATGAGATGTTATTTTGTTGAATTTGTGTTGCCATGAAAATATTCAACTTTGTGAATAGAAATGGGGTTCCGGAGAATTGGTGAAATTTGCTATGAAATTGACATGATCATTAAGTTTCAAAGATGGGCACCGGAGGTGGTAGGGTAATTTCTAGGCTCCAAAAGTTCAGAATTGGTAAGTACAGAGTGGTTGTGCTACTAATCCGACACCCACCATGTGGCCTATACCTTGTATCTTTTACAGGATATTTTTTAGAGAGGTAGTAGATTCAAAATCTATTAATTAAATAATCATTAACTACTAAATT